TCTCTCTCCCATCCCCTCAGTATGTCTCTCTCCCATCCCCTCAGTGTGCCTCTCTCCCATTCCCCTCAGTTTGTCTCTCTCCCATCCCCTCAGTGTCTCTCTCTCCCATCCCCTCAGTGTGTGTCTCTCCCATCCCCTCAGTATGTCTCTCTCCCATCCCCTCAGTATGTCTCTCTCCCATCCCCTCAGTGTGTCTCTCTCCCATCCCCTCAATGTGTCTCTCTCCCATCCCCTCAGTATGTCTCTCTCCCATCCCCTCAGTATAACTCTCTCCCATCCCCTCAGTATGTCTCTCTCCCATCCCCTCAGTATGTCTCTCTCCCATCCCCTCAGTGTGTCTCTCTCCCATCCCGTCAGTATGTCTCTCTCCCATCCCCTCATTGTGTCTCTCTCCCATCCCCTCAGTTTGAGTGTCTCTCTCCCATCCCCTCAGTTTGAGTGTCTCTCTCCCATCCCCTCAGTATGTCTCTCTCCCATCCCCTCAGTTTGAGTGTCTCTCTCCCATCCCCTCAGTGTGTCTCTCTCCCATCCCCTCAGTGTGTCTCTCTCCCATCCCCTCAGTGTGTCTCTCTCCCATCCCCTCAGTATGTCTCTCTCCCATCCCCTCAGTATGTCTCTCTCCTCCTCCCATCCCTCAGTGTGTCTCCTCTCCCATCCCTCAGTGTCGTCTCTCCATTCCCTCAGTGTCTCTCTCCCATCCCTCAGTGTGTCTCTCTCCCATTCCTCAGTGTCTCTCTCCCATTCCCTCAGTGTGTCTCTCACCATCCCCTCAGTGTCTCTCTCCATCCCTCAGTCTGTCTCTCTCCATCCTCTCATTGTGTCTCTCTCCCATCCCTCGGTGGTAATCTCTCCATCCCCCTCAGTGTGTCTCTCTCCTTCCCTCAGTATGTCTCTCTCCATCCTCTCAGTGTGTCTCTCTCCCATCCCCTCAGTGTGTCTCTCTCCCTTCCCCTCAGTATGTCTCTCTCCCATCCTCTCAGTGTGTCTCTCTCCCATCCCCTCAGTGTGTCTCTCTCCCGTCCCCTCAGTTTGTCTCTCCCCCAGCCACGCACAGCCGGCGTGTCTCTGTCCCACGCACAGCCGGCGTGTCTCTGTCCCACGCACAGCCGGCGTGTCTCTGTCCCACGCACAGCCGGCGTGTCTCTGTCCCACGCACAGCCGGCGTGTCTCTGTCCCACGCATTCCCCTCCTGCCAATCATTTCATGTAGTGTGGCCAAGGCACCGCAGTAGAGAATCTTCTGTATCCTCTACCCAGTCTAACAGGAAATGCTCCCAGACAGAATAGTTCACTCGACCACGCTACAAGTAGGTAAGCTGGCACTGCAGGAGGAAGACAGCAAAAAGAGACACCCAGGGGACTGAGGGTGGACAAAAAGGCACAGAGTGGGGCAGGGGTGGCAAAGAGACACACAGGGGGCAAAGTGACACACACAGAGGGTTTGGCGGGGACAAAGAGACAAGGAGGAGCACACTTAGAGGGGCTTAGCTAAACAAAGAGGCACACAGAAGAGTTGGGGGGGATATAAAGACACACAGGGCTGGAGGAACAAACAGATACACAGGAAGATATGATGAAGGGACAGTGATGATACAGGGGCTATGGGAAGAAACAGTGGGGCTTTGGGGGGACAAAGACACCCGGGGCAAAGAGACAAACTTGGGGGAACAGACACAGAGGGGCTAAGGGGAGCAAAGAGGCACACAGAAGGGCTGCGATGTCAGACACAGAAGGGCTTAGAGAGAAAAAGACACACATAAAGGAGCTTAGGGGATAAAAAGACACACAGAGAGGGACAGAGAGACACACAAAGCTGGCGATTTTAGGTTTTTGGGGGTGATGTTCTTGTCTAGGGTGCAAAATAGTCTAGCACCAGCCCTGCCTCAGTGTGAGTGTCACCCACAGACCACATCACTGTTTTATTCAGGGGCACTTATGCCCCGAGTAAGGGACCTAGCAACTTGGTCTAAGCTTGCTCTCAAACTCTGTCAACAAATAAATTGTATCATTTTAACTCTTATTAAAAAAATAAATGTTTACTAATCTAATGTCCACTCATCATTGAGTGTTGTATCTCATGTATTTGTGTATATGTCTTTACCACCCACCTATCGTATGTGTGAGCGCTTTACCACCCACCTATCGTATGTGTGAGCGCCCATTCCTTGCGGACTGCCTGGGAGTGTGCGTTGCTACTCCCATCTGCAGGTCAGTCCACTTTGTGCAAAGTGCATGTGCTCAATGTATCACCAAACCTGGCCAATACAATTCTCTCAGGGGGACTCAGAATAGGACTATACCGCCCTTGAGAAGCACAATAATCATACTTTTTTTTTTTTTTTTAAGTATTTTAAAAATGAAATAAATGTTTTTTACTACTGCATGTTGGAACTTGATGAATTTTTTTTAACATAATTAGTTAGATTTTCTGTAATATAAATATATATTTTTAACTTTTATTATTTATATCAGTGTTCATTCATTCTGGAGTTATCCTTTCTAATATGTTTATGGGAATAGAATAGAATAAAGCAACAACTGTACATGTTTCACAATGTTAAACTTTATTCCTGTTTACTTTTAATAAAAAAGAAATTTAAATTAAAATCTGTTTGTTTTCTTTTAACTATATGCCTATACTGTTTTTCTTCTCATGTGGGAAACCATGTTGGTTTCTGTAGCGGGGCGAGGGTAACCCGACTGGTTACATCAGCTAATGCAGAATGAAGAGACCCATTTCCCCCCAGTAACTGGACAACAACCACTTTATTTGGCCACACAAATGCTCCCCTGGATACTGTTCGTCTATACGAATGGCGGCCACCCAGGGAAGCACTCATTAATTACTTCCCTTGTGGTTTCACATTTATGTTGCAAGTTGCCAACGTTCTAATTGATTGGTGTGAGCACGCCAGGGAGCATTGGAATCCGCAAATGCTCCCCATGGATGGTGTTCGTCTAGGCTTCCCTTGCGGTCTGTGGTTTTGACACCTCATAACGCGGTTTGAACGTTTTACGACAACATTCTAAATGGGGTTTCGTGGTGGTCCCTGTTAAGGAGGTGAACAGAACCCGTTCGGATGGCGCTCCCGAAAGGGTAGCAGGCAAAGCATATGAATACAGGGCAAAACATGGGGAATAGCAATTCACGGACAGGAACAGTCCCCCACAACCAAACAATAACTTTTTAGTCACATGGGTATATTAAAGGACCACTCTAGGCACCCAGACCACTTCAGCTTAATGAAGTGGTCTGGGTGCCAGGTCCTTCTAGGGTTAACCCATTTTTTTATAAACATAGCAGTTTCAGAGAAACTGCTATGTTTATTAATGGGTTAAGCCTTCCCCCTAATCCTCTAGTGGCTGTCTCATTGACGGCCACTAGAGGCGCTTGCGTGCTTCTCACTGTGATTTTCACAGTGAGAGCACGCAAGCGTCCATAGGAAAGCATTGTAAATGCTTTCCTATGCGACGGGCTGAATGCGCGCGCAGCTCTTGCCGCGCGTGTGCATTCAGCCCAGGAGGAGGAGAGAAGGAGGAGAGCCCTGAGGGTGGGGGCACCATCAGGGCACTATAGTGCCAGAAAAACGAGTATGTTTTCCTGGCACTATAGTGGTCCTTTAATCTAATAGATTAAATCAAGACGCAACAAATGCCAGATCGCCATGGCGACTAGGAATTTTCTCTTGGCGCTTGGGTATTTTTCAGTGCGTTCAGGGGGCTGGGGGATAATGGAGGCGGCGGCGAAGGAGCTGTGATCTTGTTTCTCTGCTGTGATGCTGGAAGCCGGCCCGCGAGGAGGCAGAGCAACCCCACACTGGACCCGAGGGAAAGGAACGTAGGGTGGCTGGGTGCCATTAAATTAAAAAACTAATAATTTGTGAATGTGCAAGAGAATGTGTGTGTGTGTGTGCCAGTATTATTATTAGTAGTATTTATAAATCCCCAACAAATTCCACAGCACTGTACGATAGGTGTGTGTCTGTCAGTGAGTGTCAAATTAGTGAGTGTGTGTCTGTCAGTGAGTATGTCTGAGTGTGACTGGCGCCCTCACCTTTTTTCCCACGCTGTGTTGGCTCGCAGTGGCTGGCCCTGCCTCAATGGCTAATAATCATTCCTGATTTGTGTTGGGCTCTCTGTCCCTGGGAGATAATTAGCTTACCGGTCTTTAATGCAATTATCTCCCAAGCCGAGAGATTTCAGGGAGGGGCTTGTGATGACCCTGCTGGGGTCTGGGCATAAAAGGCAAGGTTTGGTTTAATAAAATCAGTTGTACTCCTAGAACTATGTGTCGCCTAGTTACTGGTAGGGGAAAGGGCTAATCACTGCTCAGCACCTTGTTCCAGCTCTTGGAGGATTCAGCAGAGAAAGTCCTTGTAAGGACCAGAGCTCCCAGGACTGTGTGTTGTCCAGTCCCTGGGAGTAAATAGAGCAAGGATGGAGAGGATCCAGGAGGACCCCAGTTAAGTCACGGCGACTGGGGCAGAAGCGCTGAGGTTTTCCCCAGTTCCAGCTAGGAAGCGGTCCTTGGCGGAGGTACCGAGCCAGGGTACAGGGAGCTCCGCTACACAGTGTGACCCAGGAGTAACAGATCCCACAGCTATCAGTGTGACCCAGGAGTAACAGGTCCCGCAGCTATCAGTGTTACCCAGGAGTAACAGGTCCCACAGCTATCCGTGGGACCCAGGAGTAACAGATTCCACAGCTATCAGTGTGACCCGGGAGTAACAGGTCCCACAGCTATCAGTGTGACCCGGGAGTAACAGGTCCCACAGCTATCAGTGTGACCCGGGAGTAACAGGTCCCACAGCTATCAGTGTGACCCGGGAGTAACAGGTATCCCACAACAGGTCCCACAGCTATCAGTGTGACCCGGGGTAACAGGTCCCACAGCTATCAGTGTGACCCGGGAGTAACAGATCCCACAGCTATCAGTGTGACCCGGGAGTAACAGGTCCCACAGCTATCAGTGTGACCCGGGAGTAACAGGTCCCACAGCTATCCGTGGGACCCGTGATCCCACAGCTACCCGGGAGTAACAGATCCCACAGCTATTAGTGTGACCCGGGAGTAACAGATCCCACAGCTATCCGTGGGACCCGGGAGTAACAGATCCCACAGCTATCAGTGTGACCCGGGAGTAACAGATCCCACAGCTATTAGTGTGACCCGGGAGTAACAGATCCCACAGCTATCCGTGGGACCCAGGAGTAACAGATTCCACAGCTATCAGTGTGACCCGGGAGTAACAGGTCCCACAGCTATCAGTGTGACCCGGGAGTAACAGATCCCACAGCTATCCGTGGGACCCAGGAGTAACAGATTCCACAGCTATCAGTGTGACCCGGGAGTAACAGATCCCACAGCTATCAGTGTGACCCGGGAGTAACAGATTCCACAGCTATCCGTGGGACCCAGGAGTAACAGATCCCACAGCTATCAGTGTGACCCGGGAGTAACAGAACCCACAGCTTTGAGTGTGACCCGGGAGTAACAGGTCCCACAGCTATCAGTGTGACCCGGGAGTAACAGGTCCCACAGCTATCAGTGTGACCCGGGAGTAACAGGTCCCACAGCTATCAGTGTGACCCGGGAGTAACAGATCCCACAGCTATTAGTGTGACCCGGGAGTAACAGATCCCACAGCTATCCGTGGGACCCAGGAGTAACAGATTCCACAGCTATCAGTGTGACCCGGGAGTAACAGGTCCCACAGCTATCAGTGTGACCCGGGAGTAACAGATCCCACAGCTATCCGTGGGACCCAGGAGTAACAGATTCCACAGCTATCAGTGTGACCCGGGAGTAACAGATCCCACAGCTATCAGTGTGACCCGGGAGTAACAGATTCCACAGCTATCCGTGGGACCCAGGAGTAACAGATCCCACAGCTATCAGTGTGACCCGGGAGTAACAGAACCCACAGCTTTGAGTGTGACCCGGGAGTAACAGATCCCACAGCTATCAGTGTGACCCGGGAGTAACAGAACCCAGGGTTATTAGTGTTGAGGAGTGGTTGTTGCAAATGTTTCCTTTATTTGGGATATAAAGCTGTGCCTGGCATTGTGGATCGTTATTACAATATTGCAAGACAATCATATTCAGACCAATTCAGCAAAAAAAGGCAACCTGCAGGAAAATAACCAGCGACACAAGGCAGATTTGAGTATTTTATTCAGATTTTCCAACATGAATTCGCGTATATTCTCTCGACTCAGCATGGTATAGTTTGTATTGACAGCTTTAATGCAACTAAAAGCATCAAGCATTGCAATGTACACACGAAACAGTATCCTACATATTCTATATGGTTACAGAATCACTGTGCACACAGGAGATAGAACAACCAGGAGCCAATAAATTCCACCTTAAAAAAAACATACAGAACACAAAGCATGGAGCCACAAGGAGAGAAGGGGGATGGGAGATTATGTATATAGGTAACTCTAGAATTAGAACACTTGGGGGCAACACCATGGTGGGAGTGGAGCAGACAGAATACAGATCAGACACATGAGGTTTGTGGAATCCTGTCCATGGCACAGACCTAACTCCTCAATGTGATCCATCAGTCTACCTTCTGCACCATACACGCGCTCTGACCAAGTCTGTGGCACATTCACTGCCTTCATAACAAACCCTTCCAACCTCGTGGCATCAGGACAGCATCACTTTCATCGCCAGTTAGACATAAGCCACACCACACCAGCTAGAATCATAGACAGCAGTGAGCTACATGGGCCTGGCTTTCACTCCCATAGACACTAGCACAATGTCTGATACCACGAGACCAACAGATCACGCCAAATCAGACAAGCAGATCAAATAAAGAACCGCAGATCTCTCTTGAAACCTGTTCATATGTTTTGTGAACCCGTTGTATGGCTCTTTAGAATACGTTAGTGCTTTATAAATAAAAAAAACTCCAGGTCAACCGTGTCATGAGAATACCTCCAACTACCACTGCTTGTAAGAGATCACCTCTATATTTCATCAAGTGAAAGCTAATCTTCATCAGCAAGAACTGTGTCCTCCCATTGTCCAGACTGATTCCTGCCAAGTTGGCCCAGTTCACTAGAGATAAACATAACGTAAACAATCTACTGTCCTATCAGCCATTGGTAGACCATGACATACCTTGATGGCAGGGACTGCTGGCCATTACCGCACCCCTAATCTCCCACAATCCCCTGGCTGACATCTAACAGGAATGGGCCCTAAAACACTGGACCAGATGGAAGGTGAACCGCATTCGTTGTTCGAGTAGAATTCCCCCCCAAAAAACGCCAGGCGCGAATTAAAGGGGGCTGCGGGGGGTGGGAAACAGTAAGCAAAACCAGTAAAGAAGTGGGGAATGAAAGGGTGGGAGGAAGGGCTGACT